GGCTCTCTTTTTCATTCCACTCACAATAATCAAAAATTCCATCCTGAGAGAATGCAGTATTCATTTCCATTTTCACTTTCCCTTATCCCCCCTCAAGATCCCCCTTTTCCCTCCCTTAAAATCCCTCTTGCCCCCCCCCCCCCCCTCAAGATCACCTTTGTTCCCCCCTCAAGATCACCCTTGTTCCCCCCTCAAGATTCTCATTGTTCCCCCCTCAAGATCACCTTTGTTCCCCCTCAAGATCCCCCTTGTTGCTCCCTCAAGATCACCCTTGTTGCTCCCTCAAGATCCCCCTTGTTCCTCCCTCAAGATCCCCCTTGTTCCTCCCTCAAGATTTCCCTTGTTCCTCCCTCAAGATCCCCCTTGTTGCTCCTTCAAGACCCCCCCTTGTTCCTCCGTCAAGATTTCCCTTGTTCCTCCGTCAAGATTCCAATTTTTCCTCCCTCAAGATCCCCCTTGTTTCTCCCTCAAGATCCCCCTTGTTCCCCCCTCAAGATCCCCCTTGTTCCTCCCCCAAGATCCCCTTGTTCCCCCCTCAAGATCTCCCTTGTTCCTCCCTCAAGATCCCCCTTGTAACCCCCTCAAGATCACCTTTGTTCCCCTCAAGGTCCTCCTTTTGCCTCCCTTTCTATTTCACAAACAAAAAATCATTTCATCATGTCCCAGAGAGATATCAACCTTCTCAACTCAATTTCACCAACAATACAAGTTGAAATTCTGAAAGTCTGAGAGTCTTGTACAATTTCTTTCAGGAAACAAGGAACCATTTCTGAGACTGACTTGAATTATTCTCCAACAAAAGATATTTAATTGTCAGCCAGACATTTAAAGACGAGGAATTGATTTTTCAATACCCAAACCTCAATGGTGGTGAGGAAACATTTTATAAGTCACTTAATTTTTGATTGAGTCAGACAAAAGCATTTCTATTTTATTCTTTAGGGACTTGTTTACAAAATAGAAAAAAAATAAAATGGAGTTTTCAGGTCCTAATTCCTGTTTCTGGATGGGCTTATGAAGTAGTTGCCATGTAGTGTGCAATGAGGGTAATTTTGCCAGGATGCAGGCATTGACCTACTCTTTTAGGAACCCAAACTGTAGTAATAACTTGACATTGTGAAGATGATTCTCTTATATATAGCTTCAAGACAAGACAATACTGGACCAATATTGATATTGAGTATATCAAAGAAAAGGTGTATTATTATTTCATGAAGTGGACCATGTTACTATAAATTATAAAAACAAACAAGATATCTATAGTAACATAGATCAAACATCCAGTATACTACATGACTAAATATTGACCAGATAGTTTTACATGTTACAGGCTTAATCAAGGGTAATATATAACCATGGTCAAAAACAGACCTATAAGACTTTGCTACACATTGCCTGGATGGTTTTACAGTAGTTTGGTCAAAAACAGATCAATATGACTTGACTAGATAGTTTTACTGTCCTGTTCGGACTTGATGAATATTACTGTCTAAAATCATATCTATATGTGTTAAAAGGTAAAAAAAAAACTATCTGTTGTCCAAACGATGTATTAAAGTAGAGCTGTGTAGCACCAGGCAGGGTACGCTAAGTCTTCTAGACACCTGATATCATTTTTAGTTATGATATACTCTATCATATGAAAAGATCATTAGCTGCAATGTATTGCAGTGGAGATGACTGCTCGCTAATTTTGGGGGTTCCGTGGTTCAGTCGTTCCAATGTTACTTAAAATACCAGCCAATGAGCTCTCATCTTGCTTCAGACTCCTGGAGAACCTGGATCAATGGAGTAGACCAGTACAGCACGCTATGGTTCGAAAGCAAATATTAAATATAACAATATTTGTACATGGTGTTAAGGTGTTTTTAATATCTAACAGAGTAAATATTAGTGATATACTATTGTGTATTGTTTATCTTAGAAAGAGATTGGACAAAAAGGGGTTTGATATTTACACGATATGGCATGTAAGGTTCATAACTAGAAACCACTTTGTAAACACCGATGATTCATTCATTTTCTACTGGACAAATCTTTAGGATCATTTTCTATAAGTTGAAATGAATCTCTGTTGTCTAAAAAACTTGATTATAATGTTTAGAATGATTTTGTCAATGGAGATATTTTTGATTGTCAACTTGCTGCCCATTCCTTTCAGAGAGTCCACATAGTTAAATAGTCTGTAAAGTTATATAGGTTAGTCGGATCTGTAATCCTTTCAGAGAGTCCACATAGCTAATAACACTTATACAGCGTTTAGTTATTGTCAATTCTGCATCTCATTCACATACCTTATTTTGTTATTCAGTATCTAGGTTTGTTATTTCAGCATCCCTTTCAGAGAGTCCATATAATTACTAGTGATTATTTATTTTATATTAAGGTTTATCAACTCAGCTAATAATGTACATCAGTTATTTCAGAGAGTCCACATAGCTAATAATATTTATAATATTTAAGTATATCAACTCAGCATCCCTTTCAGAGAGTCCACATAGCTAATAATTATTATAATATTTAGGTTTATCAACTCAGCATCCCTTACAGAGAGTCCACAAAGCTAATAATGTTTATAATATTTAGGTATATCAACTCAGCATCCCTTAATGTTACAGAGAGTCCACATAGCTAATAATGTTTAATGTTTATTTGGCATTCAGTGTTGTCAACTCAGCATTCATTTCAGAGAGTCCACATAGCTAATAATGTTTATTTGATATTTCATTTATTTTAGAGAAAAAATGTACTTAAATGTGATCAATAAATAAACTAGGTCAGACGACAAACTTATACCTGATTGAGTTGTATTTTAAATTGAATCAATTCCAATGATATTTCCTAGGAGATCATGTAACAAATACATCATTAACATTTCAAAATAACTCCAATTTCAAAACTCTTTCAATTTTCAAAATTGTTCTTAAACTAATATTTCAAAATAGTTAAAATTTCAATTCGGATGAAATTTGAAATTGATTTACAAAATTGTTAAAAATTACAAAATCAGGGAAATTAGAATTTGATAAATATCAAAATGAGTAAAAAATGAAAATGATTGTTTTCAGTAGCACAGGTTTTTGACCAATCCAATTTTGAAGACTTGTGGCCATGTCAGACTCTTTGACCAGTTGGGGAATGCACTTGGTATGTTCCATGTACCAAAAACTTACCTTCAGCTTAAGGAAATATGGAAGAGGAAATCATTAGAAAGAAAGAAACAAACAACCAATTTTAACAAGGATAACAACTTAGGTTCATGAGGATCCTGTCTACAAGCTGATCCTTGTCCAAACCTCTTGGCATTGATCTTTCCTGGATTATTCATATCTATCTACAGCTGGGTTAACTGGAATAATGAGGTAAAATAATTTGAAAGAAGAAACCAGTAGAGATCTGAAGTATTATTTTCTTGGTTCCTGGAAAAAACATCTGTCTAGACAGATACCCTGGGGGTGACATCACTCAGACTAGCTAGGATAAATAAATACTTCTAGATAGAATCAACTTATATCTATCTCTAATCCTTTCTTAGTATTCCTTGTTATTTTCTTGATCTCAGAATCTCTAAGCTTATAGAACCATTTGAAATGATAAATGGAAGGTAATGGAGTTTTACATCCCTTATTTTCATTTTAAATACTTATATACTTTAGATATAAATAGAAGATAGAGGTGTTCTAATGACTTATAAAAATACAAGTTTGTCTCCCATGTCCATAATTAATTCATAATTAGCTAAATTAGAAGAGAATTACCAGCAGATTTCCGATGAGTGACCGATCAAGAAAGGTCAAAAAGTCTTTTTCTGTTTATCCAGACTGTACATACATGGACATTTATGATTGGTTGAAACTTTTAATTATATGCAATAAGAACATAATGATATGATTAAGAATACAGGATAATTCATTAGAAACACCAATTAATCAAATAGTTTGCTTAATTTAACACTAAAAAATAAGGAAACCCATCTTTAAATTCTGATTTGCTAGATTTTAATTTCATTTGACTATTATTGGCATTAACCTATATCAAGTTTGGGATTCAATTGGTCTATATAAACAACAAGACTGCAATAATTAAGACTATATTCAGCCCAAAAGCATTTATACTTTAGATGAAATTGATAATATTCTTAGATATTATAAATGATTATGGCATCAAAAAACACTTAGTTTCAGCGGAATTACAAGAACCACAGACATCTGATTGAAAATTGAATGGTGTAATCGATGCTATCAGTGTCCCCAATAGACTACACAATCCCTTTAACTGCTGAGATAGTGGAGCTCCAATATCCCTCCCCCCCCCAAAAAAAACAGACCAAAAACTACAAATTTACAGGATTCAAGCCCTTAATTTTCAAACATACCCTTCCCTCACCCCCCTGAATAAGATTTGGAGATGGCCCCTCCTAAGTGAATGTTCTGCAGCTGCCAACGTTCTGGAATATTAAACAATATCAGGCAGGGCTCTATAATGAAGTCAGTCTGAACTCTGAGACTAAGTACTAATATTGATTCCCACTAGCAACACAAAGACTTGGAATTATTCCAATCGTGTTCTTTAAAACAGTCCATTTATTCTCATTACTGGCTTACATTATCCCCATATCTTAACTAATCTCCATTTCATTATCAACTTGTCTCTTTCATTTATTTATTCATTCATTTTTATTCACCTCTTCAATGTTCATTCATTCATAGATTGTTCCAATCAAATTTCTTTTTATTCTTAACTAAACCATTATTTTATTCATTTCTTGATTCTTCATTATTTCATTCCTTGTTCTTTTGCTGTTAAAATTCATTCATTCATTCATTCATTCATTCATTCATTCATTCATTCATTCATTCATTCATTCATTCATTCATTCATTCATTCATTCATTCATTCATTCATCCATGCATTCATTTCTTCATGCATTCATTTTATTCTTCTTTCCTTCTTTTTGTCCATGCTTTTTCGCTTTGATTCTAGTCTATTTTATCATTCATTCATTCACTCATTCTCTCAACGAATCTTCTTCCACCTTCTTCTTTCATTCTTTCTTGTCCATACTCTTTGTCTTTGTTTCCAGCCTAAATATCACTAAATCATTCATTCATTCATTCAAACATTTTTCTTTTTTTTGATTCATTCATCTCCAATTCATGTATTCATTTATTCCAGTTCACTAATGAAACAAGTATTGATTTTGAATATAACAATAATTCTATGTTTTCTATGCTCTAATAACCAGAAGGTATTTTAACACTGCCATTCCTCTCTAATGGTTATTGGAATAGAATCAAACTAAGCTAGCAATTTGTAACAACCAATAATTATTACAGACTTCCAACTTAATGAGAAATATCATTAAGAAAAGACTGTTTTCTGTAAGACTGTAAAATGAAAATGAAATAAATAGAGTTTTACGTCCTACTTTTCTGCACCATGTAGTCTTATGAAGATGGGCAACCCCATTCCGGGTGCAATGAGGAAAACTTTGAAAGGACAGCAGCATCAGCCTGCTCTTTTTCAGTTTCCAACTGTCGAGGGATCTTTAACGTACACAGCCTGTAGCACACAGGGTCTCGGTTTATTTCGGTCTAAGATGAACTGTATCTAATACCTTGACTGCAATAGCCATCATTCGGGTATCACAGCAATTTGAAAATTCAGCGATTGGATTATACGCTAGCGAATTCAGCAAATCAAAGGACCCCCCCCCCCCCCCCATCACCTAGTGGAGCCACTGACATCAAGTTGAATAAACTAATTGAAGATAGAAGGATGAGTTAATGAAATCTAGTTAAAGCTCTCTAGTATTGATCAGTAAACTCCAAGTTTATTGATTTTAAAAATTATAGCAGCAGTGAAAACTTGGCAGACATTTCTTATCTGCTTGGCATCACAATTAGTATTGATTACCTCCCCTTATTTTACGAACAAATTATCGAAATCTTCTTGCTAACATTCCTCAGGCAAAAAATATACCACACATCAATTTGAGCTTATTGGATGGAATAAACCTTAAGGAATGCCAAGAGATTTTCTAAACTTTGTAACTCAATGACATAAACCATACAAAACTAAGAAGAGTTGAAATGAAAAAGTTAAACTCTACAAAATCAACCAAAGCTCAAATCTTATGGCTAGACATGGCTGGCATATAAAAACAATTCAACATCCATGGCTGGCAAATACAGTTCAATCGACATCCCTGAACTGAAAATAATTTCCATAAGATATTAACCTAAATGTTACAGAACAATAACTACCATGGACTCCCATCAAAATCAGACATGACTGGCAAATATAGTTCAATCGACATCCCTGAACTAGTAATAATTCCTATTCTATATTGACCAAGAAGTTACAAAAGATTTAATAGACCACCATATTGATTTTGTAGCTAGGACGTGTCAGTCTCACAGACCAATAATTGGAGGGTGATAATCAGACATATTGGTCTAAAATACCAGACAGAATTCATAATCAGAACTCATAGGTTCAATTTGATCCCAGCTGACCAGTGTCCAGTGATTCTAGTCTGGACTTACTGATTGTCTATATGTCAGAAACAGTTTTCATCAATTCTGAAAACATGCCCCCTTCCCCATTTCCCTTCCTCCAGTGAGTTCAATATAATGTAATTCCGGGAAGGTATAGCAACAAATGTCCAATTTGATCCCAGCTCACCAGTGTTGAGTTATTTAGTCAGGACTTACTGATTGTCTACAAAACTGAGAAGTGATAGAATTGGGATATGTATGTTTCCTCAATTCTGAAATCAGCTCCATTCTAAAATTATGGACCTTTATCTAGTTTCGGATAGATTGTTGTAAGGGGTTCGTCTAATCGTCCATACAACCACCAGTTAGCTATCAGAGGCTTCAGAAGTCTGCGTATTTGTCATCTGGATGTTAAGCATGTATCTTATTGTATTGTATTTATTACTGTATCTGTATTGTATTTTGTATAATTTATGATTGATAAAGAAATATTGTTTAAAAAATTTTGTTGTATCGTAATTGTACTTTAAAAATTACTATTACCTACCTCAAAATGCCCCTCATACGCTGCCATATGCAGAGGCGTCCACCCTCCATTATCCCGATGCATTTCATCTAATCCACGATCCAACAGAAGAGTCACCACCGCCGGATTACCCTGAGCGGCCGCAACGCACAAAACACTACGACCTTCACCGTCTATATGATCCACAGCCGTTCCCCAGAATAGCAACTGACCTACAACTTTATCATGACCCATAGACGCAGCCGCCCATAACGGTGTACGGTTATTATGGTCGCAATGATCAACGTCTGCGTCCCACTCAAGCAACATTTCACAAACTTCATGGTGCCCCTCGTAAGCGGCGACTAGAAGTGGCGTCATCCCGTCATGATCTCGATGGTCAACCTCGGCCCCACGTTCTAGTAAAAGACTAACGACCTTCTCGTGTCCTTCACTAGCCGGTATACATAATGCCGCAACGGAGAGAGCCGTGCGTCCGTCACAATCCTCATGATTTATATCTGCTTCATAATCCAATAAATGTTCCACAATCTCTACGTGACCCATGTAAGCCGCAGCAATGAGGGCTGTGCGTCCTTCATTATCGGCTTTATTCACGTCCGCACCGTGTCGTAACAGTTGTATAACGATCTCTTCGTGTCCACCCCAAGCTGCAGCACGTAACGCAGTCCGTTGATCACTATCCGGATGATCGACCATCGCACCAGCCTCCAGCAGTAGCCTCACTACCGCCGTATGACCACCCCACGCAGCTGAACGGAGTGCGGTCCAGCCATCATTGTCCGCATGATCGAATTCCGCCTCAGCTTTCAGAAGAACTTCCACAATGTCACTGAAACCCTGTCGAGCCGCCAAATTGAGTGCTGTTTGCCCCGATTTGTCCACCGCTTCAACGTAGGCTCCTTTGACAAGAAGAAGCTTGACTAGATTAAGATTACCCTGATACGAAGAAGTATGGAGCAAGGAGCGTCCATTTCCGTCAATTTGATCAACGGGGATGTCTATTTCTTCCACAGAAGATCCCGAATCGTCTTTATCATCGTCAACCGATAACGTGCTCGCATCCATTTCGTTGCTAGGCATTCTCGCACCTGCGTCTAGCAACAATTTCACGATTTTCTGGTCTTTTGGTATCCCAGAACATAAACTCGATTCAACGTCTGCACTTGACAACATGAGCCACTGAACTAAATGATGGTATTGAATAGGCGGCTGGAAGTTTGTGCGCAACAGATGGAAGGCGAAGTCTTGAACTTCCGGTGCTGTTAGATGAGCCGCGTTTAAAGTGGCCGCCATTGCAATCATTCCGTGGCCATAAGTGGCGTTACAAAGATATTTCTGTGTACAATGTTTCACGTCCAAAAGCCATTCTGCAAAACTATGGTGAAACAAAATCTTAGACCCATTGTCGCCATCAATAAGAATTTTAGACATTAGTTTCAAACGACGTTCAAATTCTTCGAAAGTTAGAGTTGTGTCGATTCCGCGGCTACAAGAGTATAAATTGTCCACCGTCAAAGGACGTCTGGCCGCCAAGATGGCATTCAATATGGGTTGTATCTTATCAAATTGTTTTTTCACAAATAAACGTTGACAAAGCCACAAATATAATCCATTAAGAGTTCCTGGTATTTCTTTGATCTCTCGTAGCATGATGAAATTATCGGCAACTCCATCCAAAACTTTTTCCAGATACAAAAAGCAACCATTACTCTTTATGTGTAATTGGTTCAACATTTCCGCCGTTTCGCGACTTAGATGTTGACGCAACGCTTCCTCTTGGTCCAAACGACAAAGAATATACTGTTGTACATCGCGAACGATATGCGACTTCCGTAAATCGTCCAGACTTATCTTACGGAAACCGGTGAACATGCGAGTGACAGATTTGCTCTGTTTTCTCGAGGAACAGATTAGTAAAAGCCATGGAGGTATAAGCGGATGGTAATTGGCTAAAAGTTCGGCAATGTTCCGACTTACGGGTGATTTCTCAGTGAAAGTTTGAAGGTAAGATTCGTCAATGGAGTCCACGAGGATAAAAAGCGTGTCTTTAGGAGGATCGAGGGCCATTAATGGATTCAACACAGTCTGTTTGAACGCCTCATCCGGAGATCTCTCGATTTCGTCTTGGTCAAGAAATTTCCGGACTGAAGGGTCCTTGAGTTTTTCTCGGTATCCCACGATAAGTTCGGACCTGGACAGCTGGTCTACTATACCGGAAATGAAGTCCACTAGCGATAAGGTATCTATATTATGAGCCTGACAGAAATGATGCGCAATCAGGCGCTTCCTCAAAGTCGTCTGCTTACCGTTCGATGATGTCGGCCAGACCAGCTCACAGCACAGTGCCGTCTTCCCACAACCAGGACCGCCCATTATTAACGCCCCACATGTCTTGGATTCCGGACGATGATCTAAACAGTGTTGAATTTTACTGAAAGACCATTCACGACAGAAAAATCGCTTATTTTGTAGTAAACTGTGCGCCATTTCGGAAAGTAATCACGATGAAAAAAGCAATTTAGATCTTTAATAACTACACTTCGGGGATATTAACTCCTAAATTGGTTCACGTCAGAAATTCACAAAATCATACTGCTCCAATTTTCTTTCAGATATTGAATAATTCCACAATGATCACATCACAGGGTTCGACAAATTACATAAAACTCCGTGTAGTAAACATAGAACATACATCACGCTATGTTGTTCTATCGGCAATCCACCATTCTCGAGCTGTAGCGAGGGTGTGACGGTTTGGAACGTCCGTACCACACTGTTACTATAGGAATCCTTCCAACTTTCACGTTCTTCCATAGAAACACACCAACATCCACTATCTATTGACCACGTCTGGCGTCGTCATCCATTCAGATTTCAGCTGAAAGTACAGAAATACAACAGTGATAAGAAACCGAGAGAGAAAGAGAGAGGTAGAAAAATCAATATGGTGGCAGAAAGATAAAAAGTGACTGGTTGTAGCTATTAGTTAGAGCGAATTCCCTCGTTATATTCATTATTCACTTCATTGCAAATTTAAAACATGGGAATACGATACATCAGTCTTATCTTGCTATATGATGACCTCCGACAAATAATACCGTACTCCATTCCAACTGCCGAATGTAATTCTACGAAACGTTGTAATGAGTGCTTCATTTTATAAGGGTGTTGTAAAAGACATATAAAAGATCTCTAGACAAATAATGGAAACCGAGTGTAAATCTGCGAAACGTTGTAATTCTTGCATACAATGTAGGTACTATTTTAAATAAGAGCAGTGACCAAGGTCTACGAAAAGAACGTAAATTTCAAAACGTTGTCATGGTTTGTCTTTTACTTTGTATATGGTTGGGCCACCCAACAAACCATTTGCATATGTCACGAGAAGAGAACATTATATTGTCAAATGTAACTTTGCGAAACGTTGTAATAGCTGCCTTTGTACATTGCTTGTTATATGGCGTGTTACATAAGCTCTCCTACGTAAGCGCACTAGCCTAAGTCACAAAAGGAACTAATAATATAAGCCAGATAATCTTTAGGCAAATAAAAGAAACCCACTATCGAGTGTAATTCTACGAAACGTTGTAATGGTTACATATCCTTTGTGTTAGGTATGGACGAAATGTATCTTGTAAACCTTTTTGTATAGATGGGTTCAACATGGGCCATCGTATGGACATTGAAACCTACCACGTAATGTTATTCGACCATTGGCAATAAAATTTATCCTTCAAAGAATTTAAGTAGAACATCTCAAATAACTAAGTTTGCGATGAGTAAAACCGAGGGAAATCCGGACAATCAGCGAAATTGGCCAAAGTACAAGAGATCGCCCTATTATCGAATAAATTACTGGACTGGTCGTGGGTGTAATCGAATCACAAGTAATCACTGATTGGAGATTCTAAATAACCTAATGGGCAGATCACAGGCTGGCGACGAAGGTTAGAGCTTTTCAAGATATCGGTCTTTACGAAACTATCAAGTCCATCTGGCGGTTACGTTTTTGGTGACCAGAACGAAGGTTGTGCGAAACTTTTGTGGCCAAAACGTGATCATGGCTTCCATTCAAGAGAAAAAGAAGCAGCAACTATCTCCAATAACATCGTAAGATCACAAGGATCCTGTCTATCAGCTAGTCGGTGGCTAAATCTCTTGGCATTGATCTTTCCGCGGATTATCCGTACTTATTTTCAGCTGAATCGACTGGAATAATGAATTTTACAAGATCACCAAACTTCCACACGTGTTAAAACCTGCTACCATTTATTCGACGTAAGCAAACGACGTCATATAAGGGTTCCAGCGCTTTAACCAACTGTGCTAAAGTTTGTCTTCAGTCATAGCCAAAAGATGGGCCACCATTTTTTGAGCTAAATGAGTCAGACTTAGAAATGTGATTTGAGAAATTGTAAATAGTAAAAATCTTAGATCATCAAGCGAATCTGTGATTTTATCACGACTGCTAACAATTCATTATCTAAATTGATAGTAAACACAACATTTTAATCTGAAACCTTATACTGGAACACACAAAACGACTAGTAATGCCGATCTGGTGGATCTGAAATGATTTCAAATGGAATTTGACGTCCTACTATTCTGTTCTAGTGAGGCCAATGATGAAAAGCAACCTTTCATTGTCTAAATTGAAAATAAGCACATCCTTTTAGTCTTAACCTTATACTTGGAGAACGAAAGGTTCGCAACGTGATATTTGATCTTAGTGGTTCTGGTTGGCATGAAATAGAGTTTTACGTCAAACCTTTCTGATCAACTTTAGGCCAATGAGGACTGGTACTAATTCTGAACCAATATCTTATCAATTATACTGAGAATTATAATACCTTAAGATGGAACACATACATAGAGAAAATAGTATGAAACCATGCAATAGACCTCTGGTGGCTCTGAAATACCATGCCGAACATCAGTAGCTCTTTCGCCGCAATGAGGTGCCATGGGTTCGAATTCCACGTGACACACCATTTAAATAAATCTCGATCAGATTCAATCGTATAAATCAGAAAAATCATTCTCGAAAAAAAAATGATATTGGAGGTTCCTGTAATTCCAGCCGAATATGTTTGGTAAAACTGATACCAATTTGGCCATGACTTAGCAATCTCTAAAATTAATAATATTAATGGAATTAATTATTATTTGAATTTCTGACCCTCTCAATAATAAAGTTATAGAATTAATTCCCTTCTGGCTATTTGACTGTTTCCATATCATACATTATTAACTGATGGTATATCGTAACAATACATATATCATTGACCATGGACTCCAAGCAGACTGGCATCATCTATCTTTTATTGGATCAAGGGATATGATCGTCTAGTTATTAGACCAACCACATTGATAAACTATACATGTATACGTTTTCATACTTTAAAAAGGGGGTTTGAAATTCAGGATTCGCTATATAAGGGATATGTATTTCTAGTTTTCACGAATGGTAGTCATATGTTTGGTTTGAAAAATACCCTAAACGAACGACTACCAATCGACAAGAATAACCATGATCACAGCGAGTTTGGAATATGAAGAAGGTAACTCACGCCAGGCCATCTATGTCATTCGACTTAAGAATTATCCACTACCTAACCAACAACACAGAATCACCCAACCTAACCAATCCAACTACCAACTACTACGACTACCATCAACTAACTAGTTTGCGATAACAGTTAGCTGGAAGGGGAAGGTTTATTCATTTCTACCAACCAACCAACCTACCTAGTTTTTACGTCACACTTAACAGCCTGAAGTAATCCAGAAAAACTGAATTTACCCCGACCCCAGCCTCTCCCACCCCGACACTTAATACCACTCTTCGTCTCTAGTAAATATAGCCCCCACTCACATGCATTGCATACATTTCATACCACATTTATAGCTATGGTATTTTTAAGTAACATTTTATCGGTGTATGTTAAGAGGGTAGAACATGTTCAAGATAATAAGACATACTGTAAACATGTACGTGCTGTAGAACGTGAGATATGCATTAACTCTACACCGACTGTCATTAGTTGACTTTTAACACAGGTGTATGTTTATTTTCACCTGAAGGTCAGGTCAAACTTTGGGTCATAGAAAACAACATTAGAATCCATGTCCAATTCTGTTCCATTACAGATGAGCTAAGGTTACGAGTGTCATCTCTGAGGCTGACTCGAAATTTGTTGATTCTTATCAATGAAAGAATTATTGTTCATTTGCCCGACTACCTCCATCAAAAACTATTGGACTGCGACAGCTCCTACCTTCCATGCTATAGTACTCGGTGAAATGAAATGAACCCCATTTCTTTGCTCCCGATCGGTTCCAATGGGGATGGACAGCGTACATTAAGAGAAGTTTTGCTTCGACAGTGCCTTATAGGTTGCACTTCCCAAACCGGCCAACCCCCATGGAGAGTCAATGATACACGATATACGAGTTCTTACATACACATATCGTTTGGTGAGAAAACTGGTTAGTTCACACAGTGGTGTAATTTCCCGGATCAAGGAGGGTTAACTAGAATTTTTGAACCATGTGTGGTTGAAAAGAGTGGTGGGATAGCTGATAATTGAGGGGGGGTAATAAAAGAAGAGTTCCTATTGGACATCTGATCGAAGGACTTATCATCTGTATAATTCATGAAGCGGGAAAATGTGCATCAGTGTAGCATAGCTTTGATGATGTACATAGGCGAGCTAAGCTTGTCGCATCGGTTTCTGGTGATATATGCCGATGCCCGATATGTGGTATTCGATGTGCGGTCCGATGTGGAATTAGCCTTATAAAGTAGAATATGTAAAGTTGAAGGGATGACTAAAGATGCCGTGACGGGGATTAGAAGGATCAGAATCAACCAACCAAGTAGGGTCAAATTGGTACTTGGAAAATCGAAATGGCACCAGCCACAATGACCCAAAACACGGGACACGACACGTATAACTGATTTAAATAGGATAATCCAAAGCATCCGCTGGAAGCGAACGTTAACTTGTCATTTACCTACCAACCTAATCCAAATTTCTCGGCTGTTCTTTTCGATCAGTCTTAAATAAAAGGATGCTCCGTAATGGTCCGACGTGTAGCGAATTCAGTTCAATTCAAGATTAACAAAACATCACAGACTAGCAATACTAGCATAATGAGAAGAGGAAACATAAAAGATACATAGCGAGGTCTGATATTTCGCCAGCTGACAAGACTCGACCGTTGTGGGGGATCGATACAGCCAACTCTCGTTAGTTCAAATACTTCAGCAGGCTATATAGTATTGTTGTTCAAATACAAATATCTAATACGCTACCATTCATTAAATGTAGGGAGATTTCCATTTTCGTTATGTTGCCGTTATACCAATCGACGCCCTGATAAAACTACAAGCAACGCTAGAACCGGTACCGTTATTTTCAAATTGATACACAGTGCCAAGTTTCACGAATCTGCTGGCAGACATGGTCTCAAAGATTCGGGTC